TCATTTTATTTCGTTTTTTTGTTGTTGTTGTTTTTTTGTTTTTCATGACAGGGTTTTCTGTGGCTGTGGAGGCTGTCCTGGAACTAGCTCTTGTAGATCAGGCTGGTCTCGAACTCACAGATATCTGCCTGCCTCTGCCTCCCTGAGTGCTAGGATTAAAAGCGTGCTGTACCACCACCCGGCATACATTACATTTTTAAATGAGCTGCATAAACACAATACTCCAAATAAGAGTAGAAATATACAGTATAACAAAAATAACATTAAATTTGTATCATTATACAAAACTCTATACCAATGTAAAATATTTAAGATTAGGAGTTGCTGTTTTAGTTTTAAAGAAGATTCAATAATCTATTCTTTTATCCTATCATTTCTATGCCCCCCTTTTTCTTTTCAGAACCAGATCTTTGAATCTTATCTCCATTACCAGTTAACAGGATGATGACAAACATCCATAACCCACTGAGTGACCCCCCCATCCTGCTTGTCACTGGAGTATTTTTAAATTAGATTGAGCAACTTTTATAATGGTTGTTCGCTTTTTTAGAATTCAGCCACGTCTTCTCTGATTGATCCTTGTTTTCTCATCTTTAAAAATGAGAGTTATAGCTTTTTTTAATGTTCAGAACAACAATAAATGTTCACCTAAGTAACTGATTGTCCGAAGATGGGTGCACTTATTTGGGAGTGAACATTGCTTTGAAGTTATGGATACCTTGGTAAATTGTATATGTATTAAAGAATGTTGAGTCAGTAGTGGTCGGGGAAACTGAGGCAGGACAATCACTGCAAGGCCTCTTGTGCTTGTCAACTTCTTGCATGCTGGGACTACAAGTGTGGATCACCATGCCTGGGCCAGTGAAGAGGGAACGTGAACTGATTTGAACCCTACTCCTTGGCTACAAGGCTCAGTAACAAGTGTTACTTGGGCAGATACTTACTGAGCAGCTGTGTGGCAGAAGTCATTTTCTATGTGTGCTTTTCATTCTGGCAGTCTTTAGTTATAGTCTCAAGATTTCCCTCCCCCTCCCCCGACAGGGTTTCTCTGTGTAGCTTTGGAGCTTCTCCTGGCATTCACTCTATAAAGCAGGCTGACCTAGAACTCATAGAGATCCACCTCCCTCTGCCTACCACGTGCTGGCATTAAAGGTGTGTACCACTACTGCCTGGCTGTGAGATCCTCTTCTCTATAACCTCCTAGCTCTAGTCCTTGTTAGGCACTGACAAAAGCAATTAGATTTTATTTATGTAATTACTGAGGCAGGGTCTCTATGTAGACCTGGCTGCCCTGAAATGCTCTATGTAGACCAGCCTGGCTCTACCTTCTAAGTGCTAGGGTTACAGGCATGTACCACTCACTTGCACTTACCTGGCTGTGAATCCATTTTAATTGTTAACTTTATAGCTAAAGGTTACAGTTTATTATCCATCCTATAATAGACACTCTATGTAGAGAGGTTACTTTTCCTTGAATCTGGTATATGGAATATTTGCTTATTTTTGCAACCTAGAAATTGTGAAGGCTACTAATTATGCCTGGTGAACAGCTACCAAAGATCTGCTATATTGGATTTCTCTTGGTCTTAGTTTGTCTGTTCCCCCACCCTTCTTTTGGGATGTTGAATGATTCATTAAAATTTGAATACAGTGTATGTCTTGAAAAGAGTTATGAAGAGGGAGCTATGTTTGTGGGCACATACCTGGAATCCCAGTTAGTGGGAAGACTGGGGCAAAGGGATCATGTTCATGTTCAAGAGCAGCCTAGGCAATTTAGCAAGATGCAGTCTCAAATAGCAGAAGCAGGGGTGAGTCACATCAGTGGAGAGTCCTTACCTAATATGCAGGTGGCTCTAGAGCAGGGGTTTTCAACCTACTGGTTTCAACCCCTCTGGGGGTTGAGCAATCCTTTCACAGGAGTTGCATATCAGATATTTAGATTATAATTCACAACAGTAACAAATTTGCATTTATGAAGTAGAAATGAAATAATTTTTGGTTGGGGTCACCACAACATAAGGAACTGTATTAAAGGGCTACAGCACTAGGAAGGTTGAGAACCACTGCTTTAGAGTCTACCCCTAACATTTGCAGGAAGAAAGGAAGGAGGGAAGGAAAGGGAGTCAGTGAACTGCCTCACTAGGTAAAGGTGCTTGCCCACTCCGAAGGAAAAGTGTCCTCTGACCTCCACACATTCTCATCCATGTGTGTGCACACATACTACAGACACACATCACAGGTTTCAAACATTCCCTTGCCAGCTCCTTTCTATCTTAGTGTCCTTTTTTATCCATCATAGACACTTGTTAGTTGTAGACATGGGGTGAATCCTGCTTGAGAAATTGGTACAGTTGCATGGCCTGGTGTGCATTCGGGATGTGAGTTCCCAGGCATAAATACTTGACAGTTCTGTTACACATGCTCATCATTCACCTTAATAGCTATTACAAACCTTCCTATGTTTTCATATCTAATGTTTCATTTTTCATTAAGAAAGTTAGAGGCAGCTGGGCAGTGGTGGCACACATTTTTGAACTGTAACACAAAGAAACCCGAGAGCCAGAGAGAGAGAGAGAGAGCCAGAGAGAGAGAGAGAGAGAGAGAGCCAGAGAGAGAGAGAGAGAGAGAGAGAGAGAGCACTTCTAGTTTTTGTTTCGATCACTATAGACTTATAGTCTGGCTAAGTTGTGTGTATTTTCTTTATATATATATTTCAACCTCTCTGATTTTCCTAGCCAACCTGGGAAAAGTCAGGCTTTTATGTAATCATTTCAGGAGCTTGGTGCATTGTATCTTTCTTAGAACTCCAGCACTCCCAGCCTTGTATGGCTGCATCCCTGAAAAAAATACTCAGGCTTTATATAATCCTACATTTGGATCAGAGTCTTTGTAGTATAAGATGATCTCTCATTCTGAGAGCTAATGCTGATACCACCATGTAATCATATGAATCATTAAAGCATGCATACCTACTCTTACATGCTTGTAATTACTAATTCAATTGGGTTTAAATAGATAGCTGAACCATCTAAAGTTTCTACTATAAACTTTGGCCTGCTTTTGAAGTATATAGTTCATGAGCCCACATGATGTATAAATAAGCTTTATGGTATGCATCTCTTTATTGACTAAGAACTATAATTGATGATTTGGTAGAGTATTTGCCTAGCATAAACGAAATGCTTGGTTTGATCCCCTGTGCCACAGAAAACCATTCATGGTGGCATGTTCTTATAATCCAAGCACTTGGGAAATAGAGGTAGGAAGATAATGTATTTGGTCAGCTTTGACTTCCTGAGGAAGTTCAAAGCTAGCCTGGGCCATGTAAGACTCTCCTTAGAAACCAAGCCTTAAAAAAAAAAAAAAATGAAAAACTAACTGAAGGGAGCCAGTTGTGGTGGGTCATACCTATAGTCCCACCACCGCTGATGCAGGTATGAAGCCAGTCTCAGAAAAAAAGCCCTGTATTCAGCCTGCCATTGCTTAACTCAAAATATTCCTTATACTGATTCCCATAGGAATATTATCTAGAGGAGGCTTAAAGTTATACCTAATACACTTGATTATTAATTAGTTTTAGTTGCTTCAGCAGCCTGGTGTGATCCCAGCTACTTAGGAAGGAGAGGTAGAAAGGTCATATGCTCAGAGCTATAGTTGACAACATAGTGAGACCATGTTTCAAAATAAAAGGTAAAAAGAAAGCTGAGCATACAGTGTAGTGGCAGAACACTTGTCTAACTGTGTGAGGTCTTGGGTCAGTCCCCATGGCCTCCAAAAAATTGACTTGCCTCTGTAATTAATGTAAAGTGCTTAGTTATCTGATGGCCCCTGTGTTAGGCAGTAGCTCCTCAGCTTGCTGGAATTCCATCTTGACTATTGCACTTGGGTTGCCTCTTCTGGAAATAGACAAATGATGGTTGGCACGGCTTTGGGGATACATTGGTACCACAACATGCCAGCTGTGGTGGTTCACATCTGTTCTTATGGCAGTGAAAGCTTGAGGTAGAAGATAGATGGACATAAATGCAAGGCTAGCCTGAACTGCAGAGTGAGACCCCGTCAACAACAAATCATAAAGAACAAAGTCCAACAAACAAACAAAAAGCCCACAATGGTACGATATGAAAGTGTGAATGTTGGTATGTGAATCTTTGGGGGGCTGTCAAGATATGTTTTTTCTGCGTAGTTCTGGCTGTCCTGGAACTCACTCCCTGCAGGTATCATACAGGGAAGCAAACCATGTAAAGAGATTAAGAATGAGAAACACCATGCAGATTGACTTCATCAACCTGGACCATACTTCTGAGAGTCTTAGTTCCAGGCAACAATCAGTCCAATTCCAGATGCACAATAAACCTTTAGGTGAGATGACACAAGAGTACATGCTGCCATGAGGGTGGTTTGTATAGCTAAAAGGCTGTGATCTCTGACAGATAGTATAGTGGTCAGCAGGCCATAAAGTACTTGTGACATCTACCCTAAAGGCAGGTAATGGTCTAGGGAAGGATGAGTCTGGAATAACCATTCTGGGGCATTAGGGTGATGTCTGTCCCTTCAGATAGCAAAAAAGCCATCAGATTGTTAGCAACCTCCACTCTCAGCTTTCTGAATGGAATTCAGCTATTTGGTTTGCATCTTTTCATTGAAAAAACACCGTGTGATTAATATTCCAGGTTCTCTTACTGCTTCTTTGTGAGTACAAGGATCGCTGTGACCCCAACATATTGACCAAGCTGTCATTTCCTTTTACCACAGGATTTAAGAAGACCGAATTGTGCTGACAGTTCAAAATGGCCAAAACTGTGTCTTGTGGGTCTTTGAATCTTGTAGTACTTGGGATGGATGGAAGCAGGGTCTATGCATAAGATCCACAATGCTTCTTGCCTTTCCTCTGCATCACTTAGTTTGGATCCAAAATATTGTTTGCTAATTGTAGGTGATTTATCTGAGTATCTTGAAACCCTAGTTCTAGATAATAACTTTTTTTCTTTTCCCTTAAGGTGCTCTCCAAGTTCTTGGTTATGGAGTATTTGGCTCATCCTGGTACACTCAGCTTGGCTGCTGGAGTTGTTTGTGGCATGTGCCTGGGCTGGGGCCTCCGGGGCTACCTTGGGATGCTTCCCCAGCACTCAACAAGTGAGACAAGGAAAGACACAGAGATGGGGACCGAAGCAAGCATCCTGGGGGAAAGTGGGGAGTACAAAATGATTCTTGTGGTTCGAACTGACCTAAAGATGGGAAAAGGCAAGATCGCTGCCCAGTGTTCTCATGCTGCTGTTTCTGCCTACAAGCAGATTCAAAGGAGAAACCCTCAAGTGCTCAAAGAGTGGGAGTACTGTGGCCAGCCCAAAGTGGTGGTCAAAGCCCCGGATGAAGACACCCTCTTTGAATTACTGACCCATGCAAAAACATTGGGACTGACTGTAAGTTTGATTCAAGATGCTGGCCGTACTCAGATTGAACCAGGCTCTCGAACTGTCCTGGGAATTGGGCCAGGACCAGTAGAACTAATCGATGAAGTTACCGGCCACCTAAAACTTTACTAGATGAGCTTTTGTGTGATGCTGATTCTGTCTGACAAGTATGAAGCCTGTCAGTAACAATAAAAGCTTAATTTTTGCCCCACTTTAAAATCTGTTCCCATGTTCTTCTATCACATACTGGGCATTTATAGCTTGAGCTTAAAATACTTTTGAAGAGCTGGAGAGATGCTTCAGCAGTTAAGAGCACTCATTGCTCTTGCATTGAACTCTGATTCAGTTCCATTTACCTGGATGGCAGTTCACAACCATCCATAGCTCCAGGCCCAGGAAATCCAACACCCTCTCTTCATCTCATCAACCACCAGGTACACATAACCATGCATATATACATACAGGCAAACCCACCATACATATAAATCTAAAGAATAAACATGCATGCCTTTAGTCCCAGCACTTGGGAGACAGAGGCAGGTGGATCTCTGTGAGTTTGAGGCCAGCCTGATCTACAGAGGGAGTTCCAGGATAGCCAAGACTGAGACAAAGAAACCCTGTCTCAAAAAATAAACTACATTGTTGAAATGCTCTTGTGGATTGATAGGTGCTGATACAGTGGTGATGTTGGGTGGAAGCTGTGTTTCCCAGGTATAGTTAGGTCCCTGTGTGTTGATTACTCTTCAAACCGTGCTGCTATCCCTGGCCTTTTTGAGAGCCTGGTTCAAGAAATCATTGCAGTTTTCCCCTGCTGCTACTTTTTGAATGACTGATCTTTTTTTAATTCATAGACCATTGCATAGACCCACCATGCAATCCTAATTCAGATTTTTAACAAGCTGGGTGTTTTGGAGATGGGGTAACCTTGAACTTGTGGCATTTCTTCTGCCTTGACCCTCTATATGCTGGGACTGAAAGCATGAGAAATCATACCCAGTTAATTCCTATTTCAAAGTTGAAATTTTATGACCTATGTAGCATTTTGATGTCCATTTCTGACCCACCTGGACTAAAGGTATTTCAGTGTTTGTAATTCATAAGCTATAAAAATTCCTTTACTTCAATGGTGAAACCAGTGAGTTTGTGAACTTTATGGACTTTGAAAGTAGAAATGTAGGAATTTATGGTGACTAAAGGACTTGTATCCAACCTCTCCTGAAAATGTTAGGAACTAACATTTTATTTATTTCCTTCCCTAAATTAATTTTATTAGTTAAGGGCACTTTTTCTCACTGTGTATCCCTGACTAGCCTGGAACTTACTGTATAGAACAGGCTAAGGTCCTCTTGCCTTTCTGCCAATGCTGAGATTAAAGGCTTGCACCAGCATTTCCTAGCAGTAATGCTAGAATCCATTTTTCTTGATTGCTCCAGAATATTAACAGTGATTTCTAAATTCATTATATCCTTGAAAACTATGTTGAGAAGTATAAGGTCATTAGTGGAAACTATGCAGAATGATTAAACTGCAGGCAGTTATAACGCTTGGTGCTTTTTATCACACAGAAGCATAGACGGTACAGGAGCAATCAACACTGAATGATGCCACAGTAGCAACAGTTTCTAAACAGAATGTTTATACAGGAGTCAAAAGTGATGCAACCACATGTAACTGAGTTGAACTCAATCTTAAATACATGGTTATGGTTATGACTCAGATAATTTATGAGGCTTGCTGCAGACTACAGCATGACTCCACACTGACAGACTGTGTTCCCAGCAGGATGGCTGAGGTAGCTGACTTAAGGACCTGTAATAATCCAGGGCTTACCTATAAGGACAGTGAAAACTTGTTAATTCTGATAACAAGCCAGTGCTTGTTCACTTCTTTATGTATTTCACAGGTTCTTACTGAGTAGTCCTCAAAACATACTCTGCAGAGCCCAAGGAATCTCTATGTAACTATTTTCTATTGTGTTCCCTCTGATGATCTGTCCCAGCAAGTAGCTATTGTAGCCTGCAAGGCCCCACATTCATAGTAAAATTTCATAGTTACAAAGAGTAGTGTTTTTTCCAGCATATGTAGGGGAGGGGCTTTGAGAACTGAAGGCTGCAGGATAGGGAGTCTTTTCAGAAGTCCTCCCTGTAGTCATCCATTCTTCAGTAGACAGCTCAATATACATTTACACAATGTCAGCACTAATTGCACTCAGTGTTTGTTATGAAAAAGATTAACTTGGCAGGATGATGTGGTAGGAATCACACACAGTACATTGTATACATGTATGAAATTCTCATGCTAGGAAAGCGCTCCTTTGTTCCATATAGCAAATGCATGTTTTCTGTATCAATATACAAAGTTTTTGTTTTGTTTTTTTACTGTCACTGACCAGCTAAACTCCAATAGTGTGGTTGAATGAAATGCTGGCTGCACTAGAAAAGACCGAGAAGTACTACTTGCTGCTGCACTAATGTGGCTGTGATTAAATAGTTGTTAACCACTGGTACAGATTTGGTCATGCAGTGGTTATTTTTATATATCACAAGATCGGATAGCTTGTCACATGAATTTCTCATTAGTCTCCCTCTTCCATTTCCTCATATTTCAAGCAACATTTAGAATAAGAACTGTTTAGTTCAGTTTTAAGTTTCTTAGTCTAGAACTTACCCCAGTGAAAAATTCTAGAGTAATGTGAATGAATCCAGATCTATGGTTTTAAATAGTTTATTACCAACCCACCTCCCACCCATCATGGTACACATACCACAGTCCAATCCTTGGCTGGCCATTTTATGATTTGAAGATAACCTGACAGGTGCTGCATACTTACAATCCCCACATGCAGGAGGCTGGGGAAAAGAGGATCTCAAGTTCAAGGAAGGCCAGCCTGACTATATATGGAGGCCCTGAATCAAAAAACCAATAGGGTGAAGAAAATGTATAACAATTAAGAGCAATGGAGCCAGGTTCAGTTCCCAGTACCCACATAGTAACTCGTTCCAGGGGTTCTAATGCCCTCTTCTGATCTGGGGATCATCAGGCACGAATATGGTACACAAACATAAATGAAGTCAAAATCTGCCTAGTAATTCTGCAAAGCACTTGGTATACAGAGAAAACACCACCACCAGCATGCTGACTAGCTGCCACATCATCAGGTTTGTTTTTGTGTTGCCCAATATGGATGGTTTAAATGGCAACTCGGCATCACTGGACGACAATATATGATTAAAACAGTAATTTTTGTTGGGGATAAAATCCTCAATGAAACAATAAGAAAATAAAGTAGGGCTGGAGAATGGTTCAATTAAGAACACTGACTAGATCCTTCAATTCTTAGCGTTCACAGGGTAACCTAACTCCTGTCCCAGGGGATCTGAGCCCCTTTTCTGGCTTCTGAGGGCACTGTGTGCACATGGTACACAAACATATAAGCAAAACATCCATACACATAAAATATGTTATTTCAAATTGCTTCTATTAAGGAAGGGAAAAGATAGCATCATTACACAAGTTCAGGAAAAGCCAAGAACAAAGATTCCTTATGATGAGGGGTAAGTAAAGATCTGGGAACACAGTGTAGCTCAGCCCACATTTTCACTATGAAAAAACAAAATTAATACTAACTTGCTATGGGTGTGTGTCTGTTTTGAAGTTTTTCTAAAAAAACAAAAAACCTTTCTGCGAAGCTTAGGTAATGTGCCTAAGAGTTATAGAGCAACATAAGCTAGGCAGTGAGTTATGCAACCAGAAAGTCACAATGAAATAAATTCAGTATTTGTAGCATGGCAAAAGATTTAAATTTGGTACACTTTAAGCTCATGATAAGAAATGCCATGCTGACTGCTTTTTAAAATACATCTTTATTTCAAGTTAATGTAACATGATTTACTTAGTTAAGTGAAAATTCTTCAAACCTTGCAGTGCCACTTGATCAAAGTATTGGAAACGTGAAAAGGAGCCCACTGTTTCATTTAGTAACTGCCTTAAGATTGCTGCATATACTTTAACTATAGGTTTGCAAATGATTAATGCATGTCTGTTTCATAATTACCCTCTATGCCTCCCTGTAATGCTCTAGCAGTATTCAGTATGAAACTATGAAAACCACCATTCTTCTGGTTTGAGATGTATTTAATTAAAACTGCAATTCTACATGTTATTTCCACAGTCCAGTAATTTATTTTAAATTGGAGTATTTCAAATTCCACAAACAAAACTGAAGAACAACAATATTTTGTTTGAATTCTGTCTTCTGTACACTCAGTGATCTAAAACACCACAATATCCAACATACACAAACCTCAGGGAAGGGTTAGTAAATACATACATGTGGAATCATGGTGCTCTTTGTTCCTGAATGGAATGGTCCCACAGAAAAAGCACAGGATACAGCACAACATGAGGGCACCTGGTACACATGAAGTGAGCAAAACACACTAGCATTTTCTATATGCGCAATGGGGAAACCTGCATAGGTTAAAGGGCCTTTGATGCTCATTTAAAAATCAGGCAAGTTGTCTGTATGCATTTTTCAAATAATTTGGAGAGCGCCGTGATCCAATGCAGAATATGCTGATTAGTGTTGTCTTTGTTGGCAATGACAGTCTCGCATGGTCACATACCAGTATTTTCACTTTAGCTTTTCTTTGAATAAAAGATTTAAATGCATTTAGACAATACATACTGAAAGCTGTTTACATACACTAAATTTAAGAGATTCAATATTAGAGTTTCTTTAAACACTACAGAGTGCAAATCAGGTTCTTCACAATAGATTGAATAGTAAGCAGTTCTTCAAAGAATGAGGGGGAAGAAAAAAAAGCCCACATGAATACTATTCCCCTTTGAAAAGAAGTTCTAATGATGCGGAATGTGAAAATAAGGTTTTAATATAGGCGATCCAAGTCTATAGTTAGAAACAAAAAAGTAGTCCTTCATGAAATAAAGGTTACAAGAACACATTGCCTGTTTCCCCGTTTATAAACTGAGAAGTGGGTAGACGATGCTTCAGTATGAAAATAGGAGACTACAGCATCAGCTTCCATCTCACATGCTGTACCCAAAGCCAGGCTGTGGCTGCCCATATGGTGGTGCAGTGTAACCATAACCAAAAGGTGCCTGGGGAGGGACTGCCACACTGGGTCCTGCTGTTAGCATCAGCTGGGGCTGACCTAAAGGTGACAAAGAGGAAGAGAGTCTGTTAGCACCCAGGGTTA